ACTAATTTTTAGGACTACATTTCTCTCTCAAGTTCCTGATATTAAGAGATAATTCAGTGTTCCCCCTCCTCTCCTCTTCTTTTTTTTCTGGAGATGATTAAAAACAAAATTAATTACTGCTGAGAAGAAAAGAAAAATGGAAGATTACATAGCGAAAGAGTAAGTTTTCCATTCTTCAGGAGCTACAGCATATTACTGAACACTTTGAGATGAAAAAGAGTATCATAAAGTATGAGAATGAAGAGAAATTGGTGGATCCTGGAATGGGGGATCTGGACCTAGAGTGACTGCAGAAAAGGGTGGAAAGAGCATCCAAATGTGGTGCAATCCATACTTAAAGCAGCAGCTCATTTGTTAGCTCCTCGTAGCTGTTCAGAAACACCTATTCTGTGTCTTCTTGCTACTCATGGGCCTGTCAGTTGCTATTTGAAAAAAGAAAAGGAAAATATATCATTTATTTTAAGATTCAGTAACCTAGAGTCCACCACCAGCCATAGCCAGCTGTTGTGTTGGCCTGGCTATTGTCTGAGTCAATCTACATATGATCATCCCTAAAGATAACATAGCTCTCAACAGGGTACAGCACTTAAAACACCTTACAAGAGGACCCTAGACACCTGGAGAAGTGGTGGTGATGTAGAGAGGAAAGTAACTACTGCATCCCAACCTACCTATGTCTGAAGGAGACTGACTGGAACCAGACTCGGTCTTCATTTGACTTGGACAGAGCGAAAGCATCTATTATACATTTATAAAAAATATATTTGATTTAATTAGTCTAGGAATGATTATTAGCACTTAGCAAAATTGGGCATTAAAGTGCTTAGAAAAAAGTCCTGGAAAGTTACAAACAATGTGTATCTGGCATTTGACTACATCATAACTGAATATTTATATTAATGTTTTACAAGATTTTATAATTTTTTTTTTACTATGGCACACACCTGTCATAAAAAAAAAAACCCAGGTCCAGGTATGGTGGCTCACCCTGTAATCCAAGCACTTTAAGAGGTTGAGTCTGGAGGATCAATTGAGCCAAGAATGTGATACCAGCCTAGGTAACATAGAACTCATCTCTACAATTTTTTTTTTTTTTTAACTAGCCAGATGTGGTGGCATAAACCTGTAGTCTTAGCTACTCAGGAGGCTGAGACCAGAGGATTGCTTGAACCCAGGAGTTGGAAGTTACAGTAAGCTATGATCACACCACTGCACTCTGGCCTGGGTAACAGGGCAAGTCCCCATCACTAAAAAACAAACAAAAAAAGCAAAACAAAAAACCCAAATAGTATAGAATATTTTAATATAAATTCAGTGTAGCTAGAGTAGCAATATTTAGATTTTAGCCACAATACTTAGTTTTGAGATTCCTTTGTAGTTTATATCAGCAGGAGTTAAGGGAAATAAAGTCAAATTTTCTACTTTGTGTTAATCACAGTCAGGTCTTATGAATAGAAATGATATTTTTATTTTTATTTATTTATTTATTTTTATAGAAATGGGATTTCTCCATGTTGGTCAGGCTGGTCTCGAACTCCCAAACTCAGGTGATCTGCCCACCTCAGCCTCCCAAAGTGTTGGGATTACAGGTGTGAGCCACTGCACCTGGCTAGAAATGATATTTTAATGAAAAACTTGTAAAGACCGTAGTAATAGGCAAGTTTGTGCAAAATTCAAACAAAGAGGGTAGAAATATTTCTGGAATTATGGAGAAAGAACCTCCAAAATTCTTTTCCTCCATAAAACCAATGAGAATATTGACAAAAATGATTAAAATCAACTTTTTCAGAACTCTGTAATTAACCAAAGACTTGCAGAAATTAATGAAGAAATATAGTAATACAGCCAAATATTGAAAAACAGAAAACTCTGTGACATTTTAATTTGTTGTATTTCCATTTTCCCTCGCCCCTAGCTCTGTGATAGCTCTGAAGGTGAATGGCATTGCAACCATGAAAATCAGCAGTCTAGCAACCATTGGAGGTGATAGAACAGTGCTCTGTCTAGCAGCCACTGCAGGTGACAAAGAAGCCACTTTTGGAGCTCCTGTAAAACCCCATCCTGAGAAAATTATTGCTATTTGACCTGTATGTCAGGTAACTTCTTGAAAAGCTCCATTCTCAAGATTTGCCTTTATTTGGACTTGGAGCTAGCTCTATAAAAGCAGCTATATTTCAAGGAAATTAGTGAAAAAAAAAAAAAAAAAAAAAAAAAAAAAAAAAAAAAAAAAAAAAAAAAAAAAAAAAAGCTTCATGGCAATTGTTTAACACCATAGCAATCTGAGGCAGCAATACCCGTCATGGTTTTGCTGATCAAGTAATCTGAAAGATGTCCATAAGGAGCTTTAAAAAAGTTCTACATATTCCAGGAATCTAGAAGGACATGTACTTCTATGGGTCTGTGCATATGGCCTGGAAAGACCTGAGATCCCAATCTCTCGCCTCTGGCTGATCTTAAGGCTTTGTGCAATCAGGAAGCGATAGCTAAGGTGGAGTGGTGAAATGCCCACTGGCACACTGAAATTGTACTTCCAACACAGAGAGAGCCCTTCAGCAAAGGCTAGAAGACTTATTGTTTCTTTAAGATATTAAAGAAAATATCTATTAACTGTTAAATTACCATTAAGCTAATAAAGGAGAGACTTCAGTAGCCACAAAAGGACTTTATAGAATTAGTCCGGGAAAGTCACATAAAAACACAAATCATCATTATCATCATCATCAGCAGCAGCAACAACAGCAGAAAACAATAAAAATAAACTGTAGGGTGAAGAATCTGATTTTGGATTTCCATATTATAATTTTTTTTTTTTTTGAGACAGAGTTTCGCTCTTATTACCCAGACTGGAGTGCAATGGCGTGATCTCGGCTCACCGCAACCTCCGCCTCCTGGGTTCAGGCAATTCTCCTGTCTCAGCCTCCTGAGTAGCTAGGATTACAGGCATGCGCCACCATGCCCAGCTGATTTTTTTGTATTTTTAGTAGAGATGGGGTTTCACCATGTTGACCAGGATAGTCTCGATCTCTTGACCTCATGATCCACCCGCCTCGGCCTCCCAAAGTGCTGGGATTACACCATATTATAATATTTTAAATTTCTAGTTCAATCAAAAAATACTACAAAGAATAGGAAAGTATAACCTAAATGCAGGGGGGAAAAGCAGCAATAGAAACTGTTAGTTAGAAATCCCAGATGTTGGATTTATTAGAGAAAACTTTGTCAGCTGTTACAAATATGTTTAAAGAACTGAAAAAACTCAAAATAATTAAATATAGGAGAATTATGTCTCATCAAATATAAATATCAGTAAAGACATAGATGTTATAGAAACTAGGAATTGTGAAGTAGAAAGAGCACGGTAGCTGAAAAAATAAATTCACTAAATAAGCTCAACAACAGATTTGAACTGGCAGAAAAAGAATCAATGGACTTGAAGATAGGTCAATTGAGATTATTCAGTCTGAAGAATAGAACACGAAAAAAGAAAGAAAGAAATGAAAAAGCAGAAAAATAAACAGTGCCTCAGAGATATGTGAGATACCATCAAGTATGCTAACATATGCATGATGAGAGTTCCAGAAAAAGAGATTTCCAGAAGAAGAGGAGAGTAAGAGTAGAAAAAGAATATCTGAAGAAATAATCACTGAAAGCTTTCCAAATTTGGTGAAAAATAATAATTACATTCAGAAAGCTTAATGAGTTCCAACTAGTGTAGAGCCAAAGAGATTCACACCTTGATTCATAGTCAAACTGCCAAAAGCCAAAGAAAAAGGGAAGAGGATAAAGCAAAAAAAGTACTCATCCTATGCAAGGAATTTTTAGTAAAATTGACAGCTGACTTCTCAGATATCATGAAGGCCAGAATAGAGTAGGATGTTATATTCAAACTGCTGAAAGTAAAAAGGCTATTAACCATATCTACCAATACTATCTTTCAAAAGGGAAACTGAGACATGCTCCAATACAAAAATAGAGAAATCATTGCTAGCAGAATTGTTCTTCAAGAAATGCTAAAGTAGTCATTCATTTGAAATGAAAGGATACTAGACAGTAATTCAAATCCGCATGAAGGCATGAGAAACTCTAGTAAAGGTAACTACATGTTTAACTGTGAAAGAGAGTAAAAATGTATTTTTATTTATAACTTTTCTTTTATCATACTTAAAAGATAACTACATAGAACAATAATTATAAAACTGTGTTGATTGGCTTATAATTAATAAGATATAATTTGAATGACAATAGCATCACAAAAGAGGGGGAGGGAATGAACTATCTTGGAGAAAAGATTTGGATGCTATTGAAATTAATACCAACTAGACTGTTTTAGATTAAGTTGTTAACTGTAATACCCAGGGCAACTAAGAAGAAAATAACTTAAAAACTGTGTAAAAGAAATAAGGGAATTACTATGGTACACTAAGAAATATCAACTTAAAATCAAAACAATAATAGAGGAATAGAGGAACTTTCCTTATACCATACACAAAAATTAACTCAACATGGATCACAAACCTAAATATAAAAGCTAAACCTATAAAACCACTTACTAGAAACATTGTATTAAATCATCATGACCTTGGGTTAAGCAATGGTTTCTTAGATATAATACCAAGAGCACAACCTATATGATTGGAGAAAGTATTTACAAATCAAATTTGATAAGCATCTGGTACCTAAAATATATAAAGAACTCTTATACCTCAACAATTAAAAAAACTTCAACAGATAACAGATAACCCAATTTAAAAATAAATAAAGGCTATAAACACCTTTCTACAAAGAAGAGAGAATAATGACCAAAAGCGCATGAAAAGTTGCTTAACGTAATTGATTACTGGAAAATTCAAACCAAACTCACAGTGAGATACCACTTCACATCTACTACGGTGGCTATGAGACAGTAACAAGTGTTGACAAAGATATTAAGAAATTAATAGTCTTCCAGATTGCTGGTGAATTTGCAAACAGTGCAGCTAGCTTAGAAAACAGTCAGTTCCAGCTTTTCGCAGTGACAACGTTGTAGCCAATGAGGTTTATCTGAAGCGCGATTATTGCTAATTGAAAACTTTTCCCAATACCCCACCATGACAACTTGAAATATAGTCCACATTTGCAATTTTTGGCAATCTCTACAGAGACTGGATTAAAAAAAAAAAAAAGAAAAGAAAATAGTCAGTTCCTCAAAGGATTAAACATCGAGTTATCTTATGACCCAGCAATTTCACTTTTAGGTTTATACCTAAGAGAATTGAAAACATATATCCACACGAAAACTTCTATACCAATGTTAAAGTAGCATTATTTATAGTAATGGAGCAGTGGAAACAAGCTAAAGGTTTATCAACTGATGAATGGGTAAATAAAATGTGGCATACCAATACAACAGACTATTGTTCAGCTATGCAAAGGGCTAAAGTACTAACACATGGGTAAACCTTGAAAAAATTATGTTAAATGAAAGAAGCCAGACACCACAGGTTACATATTGTGTAATTCCATTTATGAAATGTCCAGAATAGGCTAATCTATAAAAAAGAAAAAAGTAGATTTGTGATTTCCTGGGGCTAGTGGGAGGGGGTAATTAGTAATGACTGCTAAGATGTAAGAGGTATCTTTTTTCGGGTTAGGAAAATGTTGTAAAATTAGATAGTTGTGATAGTGGCACAATTCTTTGAATATGCTAAAAAACACTGAATTATATACCTTAAAAGGGTTAATTTTATGTTATCTAATAAATCTTTTATTTAAAAAAATACCGTGAAAATAAACTGTAGGTGACTGTTGGTGGTGGGTGAGGATCAAGGGGCCTAGTCTACATGAACAGTGGTAAAATTAATGAAGAATAATTCCTTTTTAAACCTTTGGTAAAATTGATTAGCTTATGTGTGTACATGGCATATCAGAAATAATCTGTGATTCACAATCACTGCCTATCATGCTTTTCAGTAATGTGTAGAAATTTTATAGAAGAGCCTGATTGTAAATTATAGTCTAAAATATTCTACATTAATTTGGCTGCTATGCATACAAATGCAGAAGAATTAAAACATCTTCTTTTTCCATTTTCAGCTTGGCACATATCAAAAGTCTAGAGAACAACATGAGGTACTAGACTAACAATGATTGCAAAACACAAAAAACTAACTACTAGAGTTCTTCAAGATAAATAGCCTTTGGTTATTTAAATGATAGTAGTTCATTTACTATTTGGTTGATGCACTGGCTCAATAATATCTACTATTTAGAACAAAATGTTAGAGAATATAAAACTTTGCCAGAATATCTCCACTGATCACAAAAATTTCAAAGCACTTGTCTAAAGTAGACCAGAAAGTATACAGTGTATTCAATGGGAATGAGTTCTAGACATGAATAAGACCGTGGCAAAGTGGGCCACACAGAGAAGCACTCTCTCCATTTGCTTTCAGCTCTGTGGTTGAATCTGTGCTGATAATAATGGATATCCTAAGGGATAGGATAATAATGGAAATCCTAATGGAGGATAATAATGGATATCCTAATGAATTAGATGCCCCCAAACTGAAAACAGAAAGAAGTACTGGAAGTAAAATCCCAAGCAGTGTGCAACTCCTAGTGGTCTGCAATTGTATTAGTCCTTTTTCACACTGCTATAAAGATACTCCCTGAGACTCGGTAATTTATAAATAAAAGAGGTTTAATTGGCCCACAGTTCTGCATGATTGGGAAGGCCCCAAGAATCTTACAATCATGGCAGAAGGTGAAGGACAAGCAAGTATCTTCTTCACAACATAGCAGGAGAGAGAGAGAGTGCAGGGGAAACTGCCACCTTTAAAACCATCAGATCTCATAAGAACTCCCTCACTGTCACAAGAACAGCATGGGGGAAACCACCCCATGATCCAATCACCTCCCACCACTTCCCTCCCTCAATATGTGGGGGCTACAATTTGAGATGAGATTTGGTTGTCCTCTGCAAGTCCACCTATGTTGTTCCTTAGGCATTCGATCTTTGCTCTAATTGTTGAAGGATGGTGGTTTGTTTCATCAAACCACAGAGCCAAACCATATTAATAATTACCTCCTGTTTTAATAATTATTGCAACCCTTATTTGTAAAGCAATTAAGTGGAATTCAAAGTTGACAACATGAAGCAGAGAGACTTGAAGTGACCTCATATTCCCGGAGGGATCTGAAGACTTTCTTACAAGTGCAAAAATATACTTGACTGTTCTTTATTGGTTTGCATCTCCTACTTTATCTTTCCAGACCATCCCAGACGATCTATAAGATTCCATCTGGGAAATCACTTAGAGATCTTGGAAGGAAAAGAAGGAAGACTGTAGGTTGGAATAAAAGCAAGGTTAAATGGATTCCGGAAAGCAGGGTTCTCAAACTTGTAGACAACAATCTGCAGAAGGCAACTTTAAAAAACCAACTAGAAGCAACAGGTAGAGAAGTAAGATGTGATGTGAGGGGGCTCGTCTAGTCCACAGCAGAAAAATCTTGAGCCAGCTCTCCTAGTAAGATGAGGGGATCCCTCTGCACACTTCTTCAGGATCTGTGAGGAAGACCAGAAGGAACAAACAGAAGACTTCTGTAAACAAAAAAGGTTTACGGAGCACTATACCTACTGAGACTATTGTAAGAATTAGAGGAATGTCGGCCTGATGAGAAGAGCCTTGCATTGTTGGGCTGTTTGCATGATTTCCTAAAATATCTGGCAAATAATTCTGTATCTCTGTTTACTGCCAATAATCACAAAGCAGCTTTTGCTGAGTACCACTGCAAAGCCCTGTGAGGGTCTACAGACCACTCATTCTTATCTGTCTGGAATCTGGAAACATTTTTTTGTTCTTAGCCTTTTTCTTGTAAGATTGATGTTCTTTAAAATTGTTGATGTATAACAGGGCTAATTGTTAATGTATAACAGGGCACAGTTTGTTTTCTGTGCTGTTTGAAACAGAAAATGAAAGAAATGTAAGCTCCTTTTCTCATTTGAAAGTTGCTATGCAGTGTATGCAGTAATTAGAACAAAGAAGAGAAGAACATTCAGTAGAACATTTTATTGCCTAGTTGACAACAGTACTTGGAAGCTGGTGGTTCTATCTCTTCGATACTACACAATTTTCGAATGTGCGTTAATGCTATGTGACAAAATGCCCTGATTCTTAGTGCCAAAGGTTCAGCTTAATGTGTATACCCCCAAACCCATGCTTTTTTGCTGATTTTTTTTTAATGTTCTTGAAGTAAAACAGCCCATCCTCTGCAAGTCCACCTATGTTGTTCCTTAGGCATTCGATCTTTGCTCTAATTGTTGAAGGATGGTGGTTTATTTCATGGTTTTTGTATTTGAGACTAATGTACATTCTAACATGATAAAGGCAATTCATTATTGTATAGCCATGGTTTTCTGAAAAAGTTAATATGTCAGAGATGGTTTTTAAGATCTTAAATAAAATTTGTTTTTAAATTTCAAAGCTAAAAGAAAACACAATCAAGTTAGCAAATTAAGTCAGTTTGGTTGTGTCTTAACATTTTAAACACACACATGACTGTTAGTATACACACACACACACACACACACACACACACACAAATACATACTTCAGCACACAATACCCACAATATGGCAATGGTCTATGCAGAAACACGAGATGAGGTTATTTAAAAATGCTCACATATTTAGTATGAATCTTTGCAATATTTCACTCTTTTTTTTTTCCTTTGGCGACTTTATATTACAGGTTCATAGGCTTCTAAGTGATATTATCGTTCACCATTGTTTGAAAAGACTTAGTCTCATTCCAAATTTAAGAAATTATGAAATTCATAAGAAGTTATGAAGTTCATGAAGTCTCACAGAAAAAAATAAGTATTATCTGCATTATATTTTATAATTAAATTATAATTTGTTCCATTTATAGTTATATTTGAATTCAGCATCCTCTTGAGGAAGGCTAGGTAGATAACCTAGTTTTAAGAAATTCAGAGTAACATAATAAATAGAATTGCTAAGACCAAAACCCAAATCTGGAATTTTTTGTATGTGTGTGTATATATATATATATTTTAAATTCTGTATATCTACAATCTGGGAACATTTTAAAGATCATTTTTTAGATAATTTACACGAAGCTGTATTTTAATTCTTGTCTGTTTGTAGTAAATATACACAAAATATAAAAATAAATCTCTAGGACACATCTGTTTCCTGTTCATTGTGCACATCATGTTAGCTTTTGGAATGAAAAGTGACATTCGAAAACCTCAAGAAATGACAATAGCAGCAGCGATGATGTTTTTCAGCTCTCACTCTAATGTGGGAACTGATTATTCATTTCAAAAGCTTTTATAAAATAAAGCAAACCTTGAACATGTTCAGTTAGGAAACAAACCTTGAAATTATATGGTTACCAATAACAATAAATCAGAGTTTCAACAAATAATTCGGTGATTTTTTTTAAAATGCTAAACATTTATTAAATACTTGCCCAGGTTGTTTTTGTTAATTTTAAGATGCTGCCAAAAGTTTACACCCACATGTGTGCAACATATATACATATATTATTTTTTCTTTTAGGTAACACAGTCGGTTAAAACACCTGAATACATTCCTAAATAGGCACACATTTTAAAATAATCTTATATTATGAGTAGGTTAACAACTTTTGATTTAGAATAAAGTTTGTTGAAGTTTGCCTTTTGATTTTAACTAACTAAATTAAGATAGCTTAAATTAAGAAACTAGGAAATCTAAATTAATTTAGATTTTTTTAACACCTTAAAAGATCTAATTTAAGGACTTGAAAATTAGCATTCTTTAGATGAGAAAACATGCCTAACATTACCTTATTTGAAATGAAATCTATTAATATTTCAACACATATCAGACATTAAGGACTGGAAAAAAGTATACTGAAATTGTCTCTCCTTTCCTTTCTCACCTCCTTCAAGGGAAACTTTCTGCAACTTTTGACTCTTTTTTGTAGAAATCAAAGGTCCCTCATTAGGAATGAAGTCTCTCTGGTCACACACATAAGCATATGCATGTATGCATGTATACATATATTTACCTCCCACTCTGTCATCCATGCCCCAGCAGATATTAAAAGTTACAACAGCTAGAGTTTGGGTAACATGAAATATAGGAGATGTT